AGGGTTCAGGGGATCTCGTAGTCGAGCAGTCTCGACTAGAGCTTTCTTACTTGTTTTTAAAGATAAATATTTATATTGAGATTAAAATTTTTAATTTTTGAAAGAAATTTGAACTTGAAATTCTTTTAATAATTGTTTAATAGTTAGATATAACAAAATTAATTTCATTTAAATAGAATATTTCAATTTTCTGTATAAATAAAAACTAATTAAGTGCTTAGCCGACAAATGAGATCAAGGGAAACGAGTTTCAAGTTTCTATAAAGTCATATAAAAAGTTATAGAAGTATATAAACGAAGTTCTAAGCTTGCTAATTTACACTCTGAATGCGCTTTTTGTTATGATTTAGTCCATGGAGTCAACTGCTATTTGTCCCAAATATGTAACTTTGCTTCCATATGACAGTTTAATGAGCTACATTTATGCATGGCAGGCAAAATTGAATAAATTAATTCAACGAAAATTATAGAGATTTAACGTTGATTGCTATTTTGGGGGGCGTCTGATTCTCAAATACCAGGCCACGTTCACTGAATGCACAATTATTAAATAGGCTGGCAAAAGGACAACAAGAACAACGGCAGCGAGCCGCAGTCGCAGCACTCGAGGATGGCAAGGATAGCGTCCTCTGCTCCACTATTGGCGAGGGCATATCACATGTGCACATTTCGTTTTGTTTTACAGACGCAACAGAGCAAAGGAGAGCGACCCAATCTTTAACTTTCTCTCTCTCACACTGCTTCTCTCTCTCTTTCTCTCGGCCTCTGTTGCCGCTCTCTTTGGTATCGATCCGTGCAAAACATGCAAAAGTCAACTGGAAACTGGAAAGCAACCACCAGAATCCTGTCCTGCTGCTGTGCTGCTCACCATGGAGCAAATGTCTCTGACATTGGTGACAGGATTTCGGTTTTTGCGTTACTCAAAGGAGAAAAACACTGAATGGCAACGACAGCGAGTGAGTGGGTGGGCAGCATGACTCAACATTTTGTGGTTATGCATAAGCCACGTACACGTGCAATTTGTGAGGAGTGCGAAACAAGGCGGATAAAGGAAGCCTGTAGTCCGTGTAGTCCGCGACACCGTCGTCACACAACTTGTCAATGTCAGTTGATAGTGAAAGGCAGCAGCGGGAATACTACTAAATGGGTAGACTAGGAGACGCACTTCAAAGTCTGGCAGCAGCTGTTGGCAGCTGGCAAAGGCTGCTCACGGGACGTGCCCAGAATTGGCTTGCCACAAGCACACACACACACACACACACACACATACACAATTAAATATTAATGTGCCAAATTAGGTGAAAAATGGCATTTGACGGTCTATGGTTTGGTGGGAATGTCGGGAAATGCGTCGAGCATAGCTCACAAAAGCTCCACCGTTTGGCTTGCGATTGTTCAAAGGATTAGGCAGTAACATTTGGAATTAACAGCTTGTCAGTTGGGCTTAAATTGTCTTAGGACATGTCACAAAATAGAATTGATGTCGATTGTATAAACTTTTCGAGTTGGTAGCAAAATAAAGAGAGACTCCTGTGTTATATGGCCATAAGCAATAACTAAATGCATTTATTCATGAAACTAAATTGTTTTCTTTTATTAAATACACAAATTTGATTATTAATTTATCACATAATGAGAAACAGTGAAGGAGAAAAAATATAAACAATATTGTAATGAGAATAATAGAAATTCGAAGCGCTTTAAATTTACTACGGTTTATATTTTGATTATTACAAAATTCCAAAATTTATCTATTAAATAGATAATTTTCTAGCTAGACAGGAGGAGATAAGTCGAAAGTCCTGCTTACAAAATGTCCAAGTCAAACATATGCATATCGATATCTATATCATATATAATTCTACGCCTACAATTCGGGTGCAAGTTTTTTTTTTTTACTAAGCAGCATAAGCAAATTATTTCCCTTCAATAACTAAATAACGAGATTAACTTGGGCATATGGTCCATGGGGAATCGCTTACTTCCCAAATGAAACTTGTCATTGCATTGAAAATGTTGATTTATATTGTGGAACAGCATGAATAGAAATTCACAGAGCCAGAGGGAGTTTTTCAACTTGCTAATTTCTCCTGGGCATCCAATAAATAATGTCATTTGAGATATGCTCGAATTAGCAACACAATCAGTTGGCAGTTAGAGTCATCACAATTGGGGAATCTAACAGTAAATCAACTTCTATCACGATACCATATACACATATTTACACATACATGTATAACGAAATGATCAGCTATACGTTTGCAGTCAAAGCAATTATGTTCAGTCACGGAAGAAAAAGTGCAATGAAATATGTAAGAGCAAAATCCAACAAGGAAATATGGCTAAGCCAGGGTAATCGAGCAGCCAAAAGGATTGGCCAAAATGCTAAAGGCAAGAAACTGCAAGGTCGATTCGGCACGCAAGTGGGTCTCGGGCTGGAGGCATAGAGCGAAGCGACGCTGGTGTGAAATGCCAATATGTTATAGACTTTCAAGGCATGTGCAGCTGTCAGGTAACGGGAATTGGCCTTGAGTGGCAACTGCCAAGAGATAAACACACATCAAACTCTTATCGGTTGTGGAAAGTGGCAAACATTTTGTCATTTTGATCGAGCCATATTGAGTGCAAGCAAGTTGACTTACCTTTTGGCACCCTCCTCGCCTTCGAGCAGTTGCTCGCCGCCGGCAGCGGCTGCAGCATCCTGTTCCGCTGATGTGGCAACTGCCTCCGCAGTTGATGTGGTTGCAGCGCCAGCGGCAGCATCGCCTGTGGGCACTGGGACATCCTCATCGCCAGCGCCGCCCTTGACTGCGCCCACCAGCGAGGTGAATTGATTTGTTAAACCCGAAAACATGTTTGGTTTTATTGCTCTGTTCTGTTTTGTGTGCGTTTAGCCAGCGAAGCGCTCGAAAGGATTAGCCTGGCGTCCTCGTGTATACACAAAACGAATGCCACACACAGCCGAAGTCGCAGACGTCGAAGCCGAAGTCGAAGAGCCGAAGACTCAGAAAGCAGAAACGTGCAAACGTCCGCAGAGTAGGCGCCTCGTTTGTGGGTGGTGTTGATACTTTTGGTACACTCTCTTTGTGGCTCTCTCGCTCTCTCTCTGTCTATCACTCTCTCGCAGGCTGCCCCTTGCTCGATACAATTGGCTCTCTGGTCGTGGTCTGCAAACGTCGCTGCTCTGTCTCGCAGCTACTTTGTCTCCTTCCTTCGTTTAAGTTTTATTACACTTGGCAGGAATTTTGTAATAGGTTTTTCTTTAGCATCAATGTAGTTTCACTTTCAATGGGTAAGTTATGTAAATTTTTTACTCTTTTACAGTTATTTATGTTATCACGCTGCAAATTGAATGAGAAACAATAAAAATTAACTAGAATTCGAATTAGGCTTTTGCCAGAAGCGAGGAAAATCAATAAATAGGCAAATTAATTGCAACTGATTATAGTACACTGGGCTTTGACTGACACTGAGAAAATGTCGCGTTTAATCGATATTTGTTTACGCTTCACGCCTTCGACTTTTTACTATATAACGTAACGTTCTAAATTACCACTTCATTGAGTTTGTTTTTTAACTGTTGTCTGCTTGGTAGAGCTAGCAAAACTCGAATTTTCGCCTGCCTGTCTCGAAGGTCCTCTGAAAACTGACTGAACAGCGGAATTTTCTTTGCACTAATACCGTTGTCTGGCGCGTACTCTCTTACCCCCCTTCTCCCTCTCCCACGCGTTCTCACTCTCTCAAATGCAGAAATGTTAGAGCTCCTAGAACGATGCTCCAAAAGACACCTTCTCTGTGGAAAATTGTCGTCGTTGCCGTCGACGTTGCTGGTGGTTGATTTCCTCGTTTGCTTTGTGCTGGAATTTCTGTGTATTTTCGCGCATGTGCCAGCTGTTTTGCGTCGTTAGCTTTTAGGCTTGTCAGACTGCGACAATTAAACAAACAATCGACACGTCTGATTGTACACATTAAAAACTAAATACTCTGTGACAACAATACATCTGCGTAGCATTGAATTTTTATCTTTTCTTTGTATGCACTCCAGTGCTGCCAAGCACCAGCTGTTACACGCAGCCAACTTAGCTTTGCCATAAGACAGGGCTGTCATCTTAACACAACCAGCTGTTTACAAACTTTTGAAATGTGCAAAGTATTATTTCGTATATTTACAAGCGAAAAACATTATATGAACAACTACTTAAAATCTAATTATAAACTAAATCTCGCGTCATTTCGAGGTAGAAAACACAACAATTTGTTAACGTCTTTGCCTTGCTCTGCTTTGCGGCGCTTCCTCCGCTTCTTGTTCAGCACTTGTCTTCTGATGTTGTTGTTGTGCCTTAAGTTCCTGGTCCAGACGCTCCTTGGCACGGAAGACTTTAGATTGTAAATAAAATGAACCGCCCTTTGCTCGATCATTAACGTTAAACAGATGCTCAAAGTTTTTATTGATGCTATCCACGCTCTTGAGGTCGTTAATGTTCAAGATTTGCTTGGCCTCCTCCAGTGTCATACCTATGGACAATGTGGTTAATCAACAACTTCCTAATGTTATCAATTAATAGTTGTAGCCACCTGTACGCAAATTTGATTCAGCACTCTGATCTCCTTTCCGACCGCCACCGGCGCGTCTAGCAGCTTCTTGAGATGCGGCGATCTCTTGCTTCAATGCCTTTGCAAAAGCACGACCGATTGCCTGACCACCCAGCACAATAATTTGAGCGATATACTTCGCCATGTCTGCTTCGGTTAGAATAATATTTAGGTAAAACTCGTACTTGAATTTAGGGATACACTTAAAACAGGCTCAAATCAATTTATGTATGTACTTGACATTATACAACGTATCTAACCTCCAAGCAGACTAGGCACGCAGGGCAAGCCACATACAGCTGTTCGCAGAGTGATGGGTAACACTAGTGTTGAGAGTGACCGTTTATTGTAATGAAGATTCGAAAATATCTGCGGATAGGAGCTATCGATATCTTCGATAACATATATTCCAAATTTAAATTGTTCAACATTATCAGGCTTCCAAAAATTGTCAATTTAATAAAATGGTTAAATCAAGAAAGCAGCAATGGCAAAATGACTTTAGTTACTTTGCCTACCAGTATCGCCGTGACCAGAAGAAAGTTAAGCATCTGGTCCACCAGATACATTGGCTAATTTGCAAGCACACGGACACAAAATATAATATTGCGTTGGAGAGCCAGCAGTATGGGAAGAAGATTAAGAAAATTCATGATCTGCGCCAAAAAGTAGAACATATACTGTCTTTACCGGATGTAAAGCTGAGCGCCAAGTATAAGGCAAAACTACGCAAATTGCAGTCAACGCTGCCCATCTCCGATTCGTTATTGGATCGAATCCGGCTAATGGAGCTTCTGGATGAGCTGCCAACATTTTCGGAGAACGTACATCAGCGGATGCACCATTTGCAGAGTTTGCATAGAAACAGCTTGAAGCGGATGGCCAGACACCAGGAAGAACTTAAATATATCAATGGGGAGACGCGCCAAGTTATCAATGATATAAAAGAATTGTTGAAGATCCTGGAATACTTAAGAAAGAGCCGAAGAGGAAAATGGAAGATCAAGCCGTCACTTGTGCGGAGTTGGTTGGAGCGCCTAGCCAACTGTGGTGTGAGGTCCACAGTTGGCACATCAAACAAGCAGGGGAGCCACAAAATATATGTGCGTCCGCCATAAATATTGAGGAACGTGCCGAGAATCATGCGAAAAATATAAAATAATCTGTAGAGCTTGGGGTTTATATGAAATAATTTATTACGCAAGAATTAGTCTAGAAGGCGCGCTACTTAAATGCTAGCAAATGCTCTATGGGCCTAGGCTAATCCTCTCCAGCCATATGTACAATCTGTAGTAATCTTAAGTAAGTATTTACAGTAACGGACTACAATAATTATCAGCTAATAATTTGTGTTTGCATTCATTGTTTAGAACATCTTAGCTCATATGGCCTGCCTCTTTGCTTTAACGTTCCAGCGTCCGTGCGCTCAACAGAAACCCGGATTGGTGTGCTCGATGATGCAGCGCTTGCAGTACTTCTTGACCGCACGATAGCCCTCAATGGATATCTGGCAGTCCTGTATGTTCAGCTGCTGCAGGCCACGACAATAGTAGGCAATGCATTGAACGCCACGATCCGTTATCATATCACAATTGCGTAGGCTGAGCTTCTTCAGGTTGGGGCAGCTCTCGGCAAGGGCGCGCAGACCCGCATCGCTCACATCGCACTTCCCAATGTCGAGGGCTCGCAAGCGAGGACAGGAGCGAGCTAGTACTGTAATGGAGTCGTCGCTGACTGCCTCGCAGCCGCGCGCATTCAAATAGCGCAGCTTGTAGCAGCGCCGCGCAATGACCTTCAGGCCCGCATCCGAGACGCGTTCACACTTGGCCACAGAGAGATAGCGCAAGGCGGCGCCCAGCTTGGCCAGCTCGTACAGGCCGAAGTCCGTGATATTGACGCAATCCGAGACGCTCAGTTCCTTCAGCGAAACACAAAAGCTTGGCACAAACTTCAGACCCGCATCTGTCAAGGAAATGGGAGTGACGTAAGTTAATTTTGTTCACAGTGATTGCAGCTCTAGAAACTTACCTGTAATTTGAATGCAGCGTCGCAGATATAAATACACCAGCTGCGGGCAGTTCTTGACCACGATTTTGAGGCCCATGTCATCGATGGCCATGCAATCGGTTAGGTCCAGATATTGTAGGAGCAAGCGACGTGGTGGTTCCACATGAGGATTTGGACTGATGCTGCTCACCTGACTGCAGCCTACGAGCGAAAAGGTAATCAATTATATGAGTTTCACTCTTGCATTCGAAAATAACAATTGCCGACTTACCCGTCACATCCAGATGCTGAAGATTGCTGCATTTGGTGAGCGCTTCGACCAGCGCCTGATTGGAGACACCGACACAGGTCTGCAGCTGCAGATGCGTTAGCTCTGGACAGCGACGCGTCAGCAGCTGCAGACCTTTGTCTGAGATGCGGCAGCCATCGGCAAGCATAACGCGCTCAACCTCTGGGCAGGCGCCATTGCAGCTCTGTCCGCACAGCTGGCGGAAGATCATCTTCAGCGTCTTGTCACCATTGAGATGCTCGCCGCGCAGCGTGATGCACTTCCAGAGCACAGGACGCCAGGCGAGCTGCTCGAAGCGGCGACAGACGCGCGCCACATTGCACAGCTCGCAGCTATCGAGCCAGCTGAAAATGCGCACAACGGCCTCGTCGGGCAGGCGGTCAAAGAAGGGGCCACAGCGATACGGACCCTTTCGGTTCCAGGGCGGCGGTCCAATAGCTGTGCCATTAACAGTCCCATTGCTGCTGCTGGTCAACCCTCGGCGCGGAGTTGTGGTCGGCGTGCTGCTGGCAATGACGCCGCCGCCAACAACATTTGGGCTGCTATTCTTGGAATTGCTGTTAACCACAATGCCCGCCGTGCTGCTCGGGTGGTGGCCAGTGGGCGATGGCGACACCAGTGTGGCATAGCCTTGGTCCAGGCTGGGCGAAAAGCGACCCATATTGCACAGTCCGTCGGAGAGGCTTTGCACTTTGGTGTGATGATGGTCCAGCTGGAAAGCATTGGCGGGCGAATTTGTGCTGCGATTCAGCAGATAGCGATCCGAGCCGCTCGTCTCGCTGGGACTGGAGTTGCGTGGATGATGCAGACGTTCTATAATGATGGAAACAACGTATTAACACTCAAATTCTAATAGTAAATTGTAATATATCAACTAATATATTTTATAACTGCTTTCAGTCATCTCTTTCTCACCTGGTAATCGCTCGTTGCCACTCCCGCTGCTGTAGTCCTCCAGGTAGTAGCGCTCGTTTTGGTACTGACTCGCCTCGGCACCCAGCGGCAGAGCTCGTAATGCATTCCCCAGATACAGTGACTCCATCTTCTTGTCCAGCAGGTATTGGGCACTGCTGTTGCCATTGCTCAGCACCGTGGGCACGCTGCAGCGCCCGCCTTGGGCTTGGCCACGCCTTCTGCTGCCGCCACCACCGCCCACATTGTTGTCGCTGGAGTCTTCGGTATCGGCGCTGTTGCCATGCAGCCAGTCCAGCGTCAGAAAGTTGCGCGGCTGCGGCACTGGAGCTATGGATCTGGTCGCTGGTGCGGGCAACGTTTGCAGCTCCGGCGACTTCTTCAGCTGCGCATGTCTGCCCACAGAGGCGGTGGAGTGAGTGCCATAGCTGGACGACGACTGCTCCTGCCGCGTGTGCCGGCCCCGCAGCTCGAATGTGGCCGCCTTCTGCTGCACCATATGCAGCACGGCTGCCGTCGTGGCCGTCGTCGCTGGCGTCTGCTGGTCGCTGTGCGGCGTAGAGCTGCGCGAGCCACGTGGATAGAGGTCGCCACTGGCAGCGGTATCGTTGATGTTGAGACCGAGGGTTGGCGACTTTCGTGACATCTTATAAGCTTGCGGATCCAGCGGGCTGGAGCTTAACGGATGCGGATGATGGTAGTGTGCCGCCGCCAATTGGTCTCGCACCGCATTGCTGGTCCGTCCAAGCGACGCCAGTGGACACTCCAGATCTGTGGCACGTCGTGTGCCCGTCTTGTGTGACATTATTTTATTTTATTAATATGTTATTAATTTTATTTTATACTGTGAACTTCGCCTTGGAGCTGAAAGTCTGCAAGGATAGAGAAATATAATGTTATTTATTCTATTTAGGGAAAATAATACTAATTTGATGTAATAATGTTATTCATATAATACAAATGTGAATAGCAAATTTTAGATATATTGAAAAGTGTATATGTAGAAATTATGTAATAGAAAAGTTTTTATAATTAAATTATTTTAAATTAGTTTTTATAATTAAATTAGTTGTAAAGTATAACGGTGAATGTCAATCGAATAAAATGCTTGTAAATATGTGTAAAACATGTAAATATCAGGTATTATAAAACTCAAATGTTTTAAACGTGGTTACACATATTTAAACACAATATTAAGAAAATATATTGAAAGTTTCAAAGCATCTGAGTGCAATTAATGGAATTGTTTCTTGATTTCTGCTTATTTTGCAGCAGGTGCATTATTAGCTTATTTTCTCAAATCCATAAAAATAAGTGAAAACCCCTAAGATAAATGTAAATGTATTTTTCATATTATCACAGAAATTCTACCAAACAGAAAAACTCTTTAATCAGTAATGATTACGACGAGCAAAACAAAAAAGATGTATGCACAAACTAGAGATTCGAACCCGGATTCTCATTTGTTCAAATTGACGAAGCCACTTGGACAAGAAGTTTAGACAGTCCAAGACAGCAGCAGAGAATTACAACAATAAAAAATATTAATTAATTGAACACGTTTGCTAATTTAAAAAAATGTACACCATTTGTCATTTAAAATTCAACAAATATATTATTGACGAACAAACGTCACAGAAAATCATTAGCATCGGTTTAATATTATAAAAAAAGGTAACTTTGAGTTACTTTTGCGGTAGTCAAAACAAAGTAAAATCAAGTTAAGATCAACCATTATTTCGCTATAAAAATTAGTCAAATAAACAGATAATATCGGCTTAAGAATTAAATTATTTTTGAGTCACATAAGAGACTGCAAGTTGAAAACAAAAAACCTTGGGTCGCCCATTAAAAAACCTGACAGAGTGTTTATATTTCAAGTGTGATTCAGTGAGTCCAGAGGAATATTTACTATATATGTATAAATATTTTGTGTATATACTTAAATTTTTTATATATATGCATAACTTTTTTGTATTATTTTGTATTTAAAATTAGTTCTTCAAATTAATTTAAAATATTGATTTATAAAAATGAACAAATACAATGTGAA